CTCTTAAAATTTTTAAAAAGTTTTCGTTTCTACTTTCTCCCCGCCCCCACCTCCGCCCGATTTTACTCTCCGCCCGAGGTCTCTTCCTCTGACCCCGGGACCCCCATTCCCTTCTACTCCGTCACGCACACACTACACCCCAGCTTGTCCTCAGGCCCTTGGGACTCCGGCTCTGAAGCAAAATCCTCTGCAATAAACAAACATTGGGGGGAGGGGGATTTCCCGCCTGCTCCTCGCCTTTAGCTGGGTCCCGGCAGCCCTTTAATAACACCGCCTCCAGCTCTGTTCATAACTCCAGGGAGCCGTGACCCCGAGGGACGATGGGGGCATAGCTCCATCTGGGTTCTCCCCTCAAGTTGCCCAGTTATTCCCATTCCGGGGTGTGTGTGTGTTGGGGGGAGGTTTGGCGCAAAGGCTGCCTGCCCACGCCTTCCCCTGGAATACACGCCCGTTGCATCCAGCCCGTTCCCCGGAAAGGTTCTCGACCCAGGCAGGCTTGCTTCCCTCCGTTTGACGTGGCTGCTCCCGGCCCCGGCCCCCCGGGCTGGGTCCTAGCCGGGCCCCGCCTGGAGCGCACCCCCAGCCAGCCGGGTGTGGAGGATGGGAGGGAGGGAGGAAGGGAGGGAGAGCAGGCTGACTCGCGAGTGCGCTCTTGGGGCACCTGCCCCCTGCCACAGCCCAGAGCCAAAGGTCTTAGAACCGACTGGCCGCCCAGGGTGAGGATGGGGGGACGAGAAGAAGAGAGGTTTTATTTTGAGCTCCTCCCTCTCCTCAGCTCAGAGGGAGCTAAATGCAGCCAGAGACTCTGAGACTTCAGTGCGGTCAGTCACCCGCCAAGCGGCTGCACTGTACAGAAGTTAGAGACTTTACCCATTTCCCCAGCTCAGACCCTGCAGATTCCCCCTACTTCACTCCCAGCCTCGTGGATCAGGATTGGAGAACTATGGGGCGCGTTAGTCCCGGCCGGTCAGCGGCGCTGACGTGAAGACTCGCGGGCACCTTGCCCTGCAGCCGTGTCTTGTGAAAGAGCCGGAAGATGGAGGCGGCCAGGGGTCCCAGAGGAGGCGAGAGCGGGAGGCGGGGGGCGTAGAATAAGGAGACCAAGAAATCCGAGGGTTAGGAGCGCTTCGGGATTAGGAACCGCGGGCAGAGTTTGGGGGAGAGTACCCTGCCTATGCATTCATAAAGCTGGAAGAGACCTTGGAGATCACGTAGTCCAACTCCTTCATTTTACAGATAGAGGAACTGAGGTCCAGAGAAAGAAAGCGGCTTTCCAGCGGTCACACGGTGAGTCAAAAGCAGAGCCACGACTCATATGGAGGTTTCCGTGAATCCCACTGCCAGCACCATTCAGCGGTGACCACCAGCAAATTGGGGCAGACACAGCACCCTCTACTGGAATTAGGGAAACTCCCGGGTCCGGGATCATCCCTAAGAAAGGGAGAAGAGAAGGAGAAAAATAAGTCTCTCCCCTCTCCCCCCAGCTTGAAATCAAGTGAAACTGGAGCAAAGAGGAAAAGATCATTCAATACAACAAGCATTTATTAAGTGACCGCTTTGTGCTGGTTCTGATGATGTAAAGACGAAAACCCAAGAGATCCCTGGCGTTAAGGGACTTAGATTCTACTGAGGAGAAACACAGGAAAGGTGAAGGGGGAGGGCACCAACAACCGGGGGAGCAGCTGGGCCTCACCCAATAGGTGGTCACTGGAGTAATTCTTGAAGTCCTAGGGGAAGCACTTAATAAATGCTGGAGTTCATTGTTTGACTTACTTTTCCTTCTCTGTATAAGGAAGAGGTTGAACTGAATGACCTTCATGGTCTCCTCCAGTTCTGATATCCTTCGTTCTAAGGTTCCCCTGAGCTCTGACCTTGCCTTCTAAGGGCTTATTCTAAGGTCCTCCCAGCATTGACCTTCTGTGTTCCAAAGGTCCTCCAAGCTCTGACATTTTGTGTTCTAAGACCCCTTCTAGTTCTGACAGTCTATGTTCTAAAGTCCTTTTCAGGTCTGCCGTTCAGTGTTCTAAGGCCATAACATTCTGTTAAGACCCCTCCAACTTTGACATTTTGTTCAGAGGACTCTTCCAGGTCTGACATTCCAAGTTCTAAGAACCTACCTGTGTTCAGTATTATATATTTTAAAGGTCCTCCCCACTCTGTTGAAAAGCAAATGTCTTAAGGAACATCCCATTCAACATTTATTAATCAATACAATGTATAAATTTATTACTCACCTACAATGTGGGTATAAAGAGGCTGAACTGATTGTTGGGTTCATAAGCCTCAGGCTTTGTAGGATAATAGAACTGGCAGATACTTTAGGGGTCACCTAGGCCTGATCCCCTCATTTTATACAGATGGTTTCTTGAGGGCAAGAATGGTTAGTTTCATTTCTTTCTTTGTATCCCCAGCTCCCATTATAACTCTTGACACATAGTAGGTGCTTAATAAATGCTCATTGATTGATGAAGAAACTGAAGCACAGAGATGTTGGTGACTTGTCCAAGCTCGAGTCCAAATTGGGAAGTCATCTCTCTGAAAATCCAGTTTTTCTTCTACCATGCTAGCTATCTCCAAGCAGGAAATATTTCCCTTATCAGTCAGGGCAACAAGAGGTTTTCCTACCTCACTTTCACCTACTTTTCCCTCTGTGCCACACCCCTGCCCCTCAGGCAGGAGGCAAAATTTAGGCACTCTGGGATCCTTCTATCTCTCAAGTTATTTGTTCTAGGGTCTGCCTGCCAAATACCAGCAAGGTTTCCCAAACACTTATCATGTTCCTGATGATGAGCTGCGTGACTCAGTGGATAGAGCACTGGGCTTGGAGCCAAGATAGACCTGAATTCAAATGTGGCCTCAGGTGCTTACTATTGGGCAAGTCGCTTAACCTTGTTTGCCTCAGTTTCCTCATGTGTAAAATGAGCTGGAGAAGGAAATGTCAAACCACTATCTCTGCCAAGAAAACCCCAAATGGGGTCAGGAAAAGTCTGTTGGGAACCGCTAGAACAACAGTCCTCTCCCCCTTGACTTAGCCTCATCGGAGTAAGGCAGTTGATTTTCACTCTTGGTCAATAACCCCCCCTCCCCCCACGGAGGGTCTTGCTACTTTTCATCACCAAAAGCGGGCTTGCCTCGACCTGCAGCAGCTATGACTTTTCGCTGTGCTCTTGGGTTTCTTCCTTTCGCCCCGGATTTCAAACTCCTCTGCCAGGTCTCCAGTGGCCCAGAAGAATAGTCTGGGACTGGAGGGGTTGAGTTTTCGACCTTTGGAGCCTGGTTTAACCCCTCCCTCCTCACTGAACCCAGGGAGTAGGAGAAATTCCTCAAATATTGACCCAAGTCCTCGAAGCCTGGCTCCCAGTTAGGAGGAATTCGCCGCCCCCGCCTCCTACCCAGAGCCATTGCCCATTTCTCGCCAGCCCTGCCCCCAAGAGAGGTCATATCTGGCTCCAGACCCTGGTCCGAGGAGCCAGGATCCGGCGGGATTTCTGGAAAGGGCCAGGACGCGTAAATCCCTCTTCTCGGGTTCCTAGGCTTCTCTCCCAGTAGCGCAAACCAAAGAGTTCAGCTGAGCCAGTAAGGGAAAAAGCCTAGGCCTGGGTCTGGTCAGGCATACCCGAGTAACCTTAAGCAAGTCTCCCCACCCCCCAAGTCTCTTTATCAATAAATGAGGTGGTTAGACCAAAAGGTCTCTGGCCCTAAGAGCCAGGGTTTTGTTGTGTTTCTGTGCCCGCGGAGGCCCAGCGATCCCGGGATGGCTAGGCGAGGGCCCGTAGGGCACCAGCTTCAGCGTTTCTTTTTGGGAAAGTCCCGACAGGCCCCAGAAGCCTTTGAATCGCCTTTGGGACCCGTAGATACCGCGGGGCCTTAAACTCTCCCGAGTGGAGACTCTTTCTATTATAGGCTTAGGACCGAGATTAGGTTCTCGAGCGATTTAGGTTCTGCAGCGGTTCTTGCTGATTGAGAGAGCCGGTCAGGGGGCCCTGTGGTGGAGGCGGGTGCAAGCAGGAGGTCAGAGGAGCCCGGGGAGCGGGATGAGGGTGGGGATGGGGGTGTGTGTTGGGGACTAAGTGCATTTGGGAGGCGCAAAGCTGCTGGAGGCCCCGCGCAGGGGGTAGAGGTTGAGCTCCTCCCCCCGCCCCATCCGGGGTCCTGGAGAGAAGAGGAGCTGGAGGTGGGCAGGTGAGGTCGAAGTGACTACTTCGGGATGCCTCTGTTCCCTCCCCCCCCCGCCCCCACCCACTCTGAGTCGTGGGTGGTTGCAGTTCCTCTCTGACCTCTCCACTCCCTTTCACTCCTCAAGCTGGCTGCCCGAGGACTGGGCTGGTTGAGTGGCGCCGAGGTGGTGCAAGGCCCCGGGCTTCCACCCCCTACCCCCGGGGTGTCAGCACTCTGGCCTGGAGGAGAGGGGGTGAGGGAGGACAGACGCGGACGCTGGACAAAGAGTAGCTTGTCCAGATCCTGGAGCCTGTCCTTCCAAAGGGTGACATCAACTTTATGCTGTGGCCATGGGGGAAGGGGAGGAAAAGAGACACCCAGGCTTTTCCCGGATGGCTTGACTGTGTCACCCCGACGCGGCCCCAGGGAGACGCCTGGACACGTGCAACTTTGTTCACAGATCTTCATCTGGAAGCACGACTCCCAGGTTACTGCTCTGGAAAGAGCCCAGTGGCCAGGGACCCAAAAGCATCCTTGGTTCTGGAGGTCCAGAGCCGTCGGGGAACGGTCTTTGCCCAGAAGTTGATAGGGTCTTCCACTCCCGAAAGACCTAGTGGCCCCCAACCCTGCTTAAGCTTAGAAACGGGCGAGGCGCCCCTGGGGGTAGGAAGTGGGGAGGGAGGGGAGGAGCAGAAGAAACTTTCCCTCTTAAGCCCCTGAGGAATGTCGGCGGATTTCCTGAAATCCGACCCCGGGGCCGCGCAGCGTTCCCCTGCCCCCCTCACCTGGACTAGCTCTCGGGGGTGGGGGGGGCGGGGAGCGGTGAATTGGGAAAGGGAGGAGGTTGCTGGCCTCCAGCTGCTATGGCTGCCTGGGGGGAAGGGAGAGCTCACCTGAGCTCAGGACCACGGAATTTAGGATCCCTTCCTTTTGCTGCTTCCCACCCACTTTTAGACCCACATTAGGCCAATCCGTGAACCAGGGAAACTGAGGCAGGAAACAAAGGAACGCTTCTTCAATGCCTTCTCCAGGCGCTCGACTCCAATCACAGGAACTGGGAGGGGGTGCTTGGAAGGGAGCGTTCTTAGTTGCCGCACCGTCCCGGAGCTGATGTTCAGAAGAGAATGGGGAGGCCGCGAACCCTGGGGAGGCCGAGGACCATGCAGCTTCTGACTCCCGCTCCCCGCCGCTTTGGGGCGAGACAGGAGACCAAAGCCAGATGTGCGGGCTTGCAGGTTACATTCCAGCTGCGCCCGACACAGCCGCGGCTGATTAAGCCATCTGGGGACCGGGCGGGGGCAGATGAAAGGCGGGAGCTGGGCTGGGGGAGGGGGTAGTATACCCGGGCTCCCGCCGGGAGCCATCGCTTTTCCTCTCCCGCCACTCCTCTCTTTTCCCTCCAGCCGGAGGCACCTTTGGCGGCCTCTGACCTAGGGCATCTCCCTCTGAGTCTAGAGTCAAAAGTCTCGGCCGAGAGATCAAGGGGCGGCACCTGCGCACGTGGCGGGCGGCAGAGCCTCTTAGGCGCCGGGGGCCAGCCCTGAAAGGGTCTGGGAGGCCTCTGCCCAGCTCCGCACAGAACTGGGACCACATTGTCCAGTTCTGGGGCCCCCACGGCAGGTCTTACACCGTCCGGGGGCTTCCCTTTTCCAAGGGAGGGAGGACCAGGTCTCCCGCCACCCTAGAAGCAAAGAGAGTGAAGGGAACTCCCTTTGGGAAAAGTTCCTCATTGCCAGGGATAGGGAAAATTGTACGCTTCCTAGCGTCTAGGGCCAGTTCAGGACAAATTGCGAGGTACAAAATACTCCTGTCGGGTATGGTGGTGGTAGTGTAGGAAGAATTCGTTTGGGGCGAATGTCCCTGTCCCTCGCTGTCATATTACCCCAGCGATCCATCTGACTCAACGGTCCAAGGAAGAGCCGAGAGACGACCTCGGGCCCTGGTCCCCTCCCTTTTCTCCTAGAGTCTCGCAGCAATTCTGGAGGCAGCGATGGAAACCTCCGGCTTCACGTGGAGGAGCTAGGTAGCGACCAGCGGACCCAAGGGAGAATAAATGGCATGCCCCCGCCCAAGAGGATCTCCTAACTCCTTTCTAGCCTCCTTGTTTTCTCCAAATTCTTTGCCTCCTGGTTCCTGGTCTCCATCTCTCCCCATCCCCCCCGTACTGTCTCCCAAGCTCCCTTGCTCAGGGACGATGACGTCACACCCCAGCCCCCCGCGCGCCCCTCTCTGAGCTTCTGGTTCTGTCTCTGGCCAGACCCCACAGGCCCCCGGACCCTAATCCCCGCGCTCGCCATGGCTGGCGCCGAGGTCCAGATGCTGCTCCTGCTGCTGTACCCCGGGCTGCTGCCGCTTGCCACGGCCGCCCGTGGGGACCCGTTCGCCCAGCAGCTGGGCCCCACCAGCTCGTGCCAGATGCAGTGCAGTCTCTGGATTCCTCACGCGGGGGCGGCGGTGCAGGTGAGAGGTGCGGGTGTGGGTAAGGGCAGGGGGCCACTGGCCGCCCGGCGAATTTCAGGCCCTGGCCGGCCGGGGGCTAGAGCGCGTCCCATTTTCCACCAGCTGCGTGTTTGCAGTGGGAGGTCAGGCCCCAGGGCGGGGCGGGGCTGGGGGCCCAGCGCTTATCGGGGGCCCATCCGTGCCCCTGCGGCCATGGCGGGCATGGGCGCCCCTTTCACCCTTCTTGTTGCCCAAAGGAGGAGCTGCAGAACGCCTGCGCCCGGGGCTGCCGCCTCTTCGCCATCTGCCGCTTTGTGACGGCCAGCTCCGAGGCCAACGTCACCCTGGCTGAGTGCAAAGCAGGTGATGAGGAGTGGGGGGTGGAATACCCGTAGCAGAGAAGTAAGGAGTGGAACCCTTCTGGTCAGAATGCGATGGGGATTAGGGATGGGGGAGGCCACTCACTACCTGTGGGATGGGGCTACCTAGTGTGACCTCAGACAACTCACTTCCTTTCTAGAGGCCTCAATTCTGGAAACAAAAGAGGTATTTAGAATAGACGATCTTTCAGCTCTAAATCTTCTAAGTGAGCCCCAGGCTGGGGAAGGAGACTGGCCCTTCCTTAGGCTGGGAGCATGCATGCAGAGTGGCCAGACATTGAGAATCCTCCACCATTCCCTCCTGAAGCCTGTCTGCAGGCCTATGACCAGGCTCGAGAACAGCTGGCATGCACTGAAGGATGCTTGAGGCAGATGCCTGATTCGCAGAGACCTTCATTTCCACCTCTACCTTCACCTTCACCTTCACCTCCACCTGAGCACCATAAGGTGTGAAGACAGGTCCCTGGGAAATTGGCTTCATTTCTGCTGCAGGGTACAGGGGAAGGGGGCCCAGAGAGGCAGCTGGAAGACCTGCTTTTAAGTCCAGTTTCTGCTAATAAATGACTTGGTGACCATGGTAAAGCAACTTCCTATCTTAGTTGTCAGTTTCTCCATCTGTTAAATGAAGGGGTTGAAGCCAGTAGGTCTTTCATTTCTGACATTGTAGAGTTTGATGTCTCTTCTAGCTTTGATTTATGCTTATACCATCTAACTCCCACCTTCCCTTCAATTCTCACAGTCAGCCAGGCACCAGGTTCTCTCATGAATTTTTTGGGGCAGCATTTCTCCCATCTATTCCCCCGTTTATCCTCCCATGATTCCTACCTTAGTCTAGACCTCTGAATCTCTGGCCTGCACTTTTGTAACAGGCTTCTAATTGACTTCTCTGCCTCCAACCCAACTGAACAGGCTGCTACAATCATTTTTACCAATCCTGGGCTTTGATAACATCTCTGTCCTGCTCAAATACTCTCTGTGGCTCCCCCTGGACTTCAGGAGAGGGTTTATGGTCCTCAGTTTGGTAGTTTGGTCCAATCTTCCTGTCTCGTTTATCCTCTCCCAGCTCCCTTGTATATGTCTAGTGTTCCAGCCTAGCTGGGCTCCCTGCTGGCCTCCATACCTAGCCACTGGAAAATATTTTCTCCCTTTCCTCTTCCTCTTCTATATATATCCTACCCATCCTTAAGGTCCAGCTCAGGTCCTTTCTCCTCTAAAAAGCCTGTCCTATTTAGGTGATTGCATGATTGCTACCACAATGATCTGATGACTTATGTCTTTTTTTCCTCTTCTCTCCGGTCCCTTCCCCCCACAATCTAGGGACAGAGACCAGTGCCTCCACCTGACACCATTTCAGTGATGGATGTCTTATCCAATCTGTGTAATAAGTTGATCAGCTCAGCCCAAAGCTTTATCTCTTCCACTTGGACCTATTACCTACAGGCAGACAATGGGAAGATGGTAGTTTTCCAGGTGAGAGTGGAGGGAAGGTAGGTGGTGAGTTCCCCATCATGAGAGGTATCCAAAGAAACCCTGTGGATGATGTAGGAGAGGGTTTCTGGGTTAGATGCTCTTTAATGTCCCTCTTGACTCTAAGATCCTGTGGTTTTAGAGTGGGGAGAGATGAGAGGGATAGAAAAGAGACCTCCCCCTGGAGCCTGGGTATGAGTTCAGCTGGTTCATGGGAGGGTATGTTCAGAGTCCCAGGCCTGCTGTGGCCCTCTGATGGGCACTCTTGGCCTGTCTTTTCCTTTTGGCTAGTCACAGCCTGAGATGGAAGCACCTAAGCCAGAAGCAACTCAAAACCATGCCGAGGTGACCTCCCCAGTGGATCTCCATTCAGGTGAGAAATAGGGGCAGCTGTCCCTGAGCAATCTCAACGTTCCTCTTTCCATCTCTCCCAGAGCAAGGGTGGCAGAAGCCATGGGGTCTAGCTGTTGTCCAGACAATTACTTGTTCACTTCTCAACCATCCATTATCCAGGGTCCCAGGCCCCACTTCCCAGAATCTCCAGCCTCTGGAACCCTGTCAATCTCCAGTGTGACTGAGCATTGGACAGGGGGATGTGTTCCAAAGGACCCACTCAGCAGGGGGGCTTAATCCTTTTGTTCTCCTAGGTCCTAAAGAGAAAAAAGGGAAAACTAAAGGCAAAATGACCCAGGAGACCTCCACGGGCTCCCAGCCAGAACACAACTTCCTGGGCTGCATGTCCAAGTAGGTGCAGGGCTTTAGTGGGGAGGCACTTCTGCCTGGGCCTCAGTTTCCTCACTTATAAAATGAGGGGATTAGTGCTTCTTAAATTGTGGGTCGAGCAAGGCCCACAGCTTAAGAAGCGCCGAAGAGATCAACGGTGGAAAAAGTTTAAGAAGCTCTGGATGACCTCAGAGGTCGCCTCTAGCTCTGGGTTTAGGATGCTCTTGTCCTGTGATTCCTGACCTGAATCTTGTCTAGCCCTGTCTCTCTGTATGAGGCAGCACAGTTATAGCTAAAAGAAAGCCAAAAGCCCTGGGTTCAAATCCTTTCTCTACCATTTACTACCTCTTTGACTTTGGCCAAATAAGTTAGCCTCTCTGATCCTCAAGTTTCTCATCTGTAAAATGGGGCTATTCTTGTCACTCAGAATTGGGGGGAAAGTAAGTTATTATTTTGCCCCACCCCTCCACTTAAACATGGTCTGTGACCTATCTTTACTCCCCCCTCATGATTAATTGAAAACAGACTTATTTCAGCCCCATTTCCATGATTAGTACTCAGTCATCTCTTCCCCAGGTTTATGAGAATATCTTGCTGGTCAAAGGATTCATGCTTGGAGCCCCCTACCTCACCCCGGCTCTCAGCTTGGTTCTCTTCCTTTGCCATGCTGTTGATCTGACAGAAAAGGGCCTGGCCCTCCGTCCCATTCATAGCCTTGTCTGAGACCATGCTGTGTTTGGGGGGCTGGGGTTTAGGCGCTCTGGACTGCCCAAGTGGATCCTGGCCTCCTGCCTCCTCTTTTCGGTGCTCGTCATGCTGTGGCTCAGCTGTGCCAGCCTTGTGACTGCACCAGACCAGCACGTCCGGAACCAGGTATGTGGGCTTAGGAGGATGGGGAGGGGAGATACTCAGTGTGCTTCCTAGTACTCCTCCTCTCCCCTCCCAATGATCTCAGTCATAGCCTTTTTCATGCCCAGGATTTTTTCTCTTATCCCTTCCCGACAACCTGGGTCTCTCCTCTTCTCCCCTTGCCTTTGAACCATAGGATTCCAGATTTAGAAGTTCCCTCTGAGAAAATTGAGTCCAGCCCCCTCCCCAGTGCATGAATCCATGGCAGGTGGGCATCTCTGCTCTGCTTGAACATTTCTAAGGATGGGGAGCTCATCACCTCATGAGGCAACTTGATCTTCTCCCCACACTGGGAATTCTGTTCTCTTCCTTTCTTACCCACCCCCCACAGCCACTGAGCATCTCTGGGGACAAGAATTACCTGGATAACCTGGAGTGGCCCTTGGCTCCGGCTCCGGCCCCCCTGATAGCCATCGCTGTGGAGCCCCGGGAAGCTGGCTCCTTGCCCCTAAAGGTGGAGATGGACCGTACAACTCTGTAAATCCCAGAGCGCCCTGGAGTTGGAGTTGTCCCTTTCTGCAAACCTCAACCCACGGAAGCCTCAGTGATAAAGGGATAGGGAGAGATTCGGTGCTCCCACCCCTCTAGGACAGCTCCCCCACCCCAACTCTGCTGCCCAATCCTTTTAGGCCTGGAAAAGTCCCCCTACTGGACCCCAAGGAATAGTCCCCCTCTTCTCCAGTACCTGTTGTCCAGGGATGTGTGGGTATGAATAGGGGAGGGGATGATTTGGTCTGAGTTGGGATAGGGCTGGAAGAGGGTCTTGGCTTTCTCCTCTCCACCCTTTCTCCTTTTACTCATCCTACATTACTTCCACCCCAGTGTAGCTCAGCATGCGAGTTTTGGCCCAGCCTTCCTACCCTTCCCACCCCTAGCCACTTACCCAAAGGGCATCTGGACCCAGTTGAAGCTGATTTCTCTTCCCATTCTCTTCTCCTTTCCTTCCACCCTAGATTAATTTATTATTATTTTCTAACTTGTGATCCTCAGCCCCTTCTGACTCATTTTCCTCCTGGTTCTCTTGGGCTAGGCTTAGTTGGGGGAGGAGAAGGTTCTTGGGAGCCCCCTCTACCCCTATCTCCCAGTCTCCACCATTCAGTGACACCAGGCAGCTAGCTCGAGGCTGGCAGTGGGTGGGGGCAGTTGCTGGGGCGAGAAGAATAATAGGGAGTGAATAAAATCTTTATAACTGACATTCTGAGTCGAGAATTTGTGGTTTCTGTATTTGTGTGTGCATCGGCCTGGGCCATGAGGCCGGGGAGGTAGGAAACAGAAGAACCGACAGGGCTCTTTCCAATGTTCAGGAATAACCCCTCCCATTGACTCTTCTGGCATGGAGCCCTGGTTACTCAGCCCCATGCCATAGTCTTGGGGAGGGGGAGGGAGACGTGCATGGAGAGGCTCAGGCAGGTCATCCAGTGTGCCAGACCTGGGGGAAGCACTGGGGATGCATGAAAGGCAAAAAACACAGTTCCTCCCCTCAAGGTGCTGCCAATCTAATGGGGAAGACAGCATGCAAACAACAAGATCTATGAGGTATTTGGAGGCAATCTTTGAGGGAAGGGCTGGGAAAGGCTTCCTGCGTAAGGTGGCATTTGAACAGACACTTTCCTTCTGAGTCCATGATGTGGGGAGCATGGACTCCCCCATGAACCCCAGAGCAGGAATATGCCCCGCGTTTTAAAGAGGAAGGTTTTTTCCTTGCTCTATGTTGCTTTCCCGTCTCCTATCCCCAGGGGCTACTTTGGAGGGTTGACCCCAGTAGGGGTAGTAATTCATTTCTTTTGTTGGGAGGTGATCGGGGTTAAGTGACTTGCCCAGGGTCACACAGCTAGTAAGTGTCCGAGGCTGGATTTGAACTCAGGTCCTCCTGACTCCAGGGTGGATGCTCTATCCACTGTGCTACCTACCTATCCCTGTAATCCATTTAAGTTTGACAAAGCTCTTTTCCTGCTATCATCCTAGGAGGCAGGCAGAGCAAGATTAAAGCCTCATGCCCACTTGGTGGAGGAAGGAACATGATGGGGAAGTGATTTGCACAGGGTCATGTGACTGGCAAATGACAGAACCAGGGTCTCTCTACTTTGAGTCCAATCCTTTTTCCACTCCCAGATAGGCAGCTCTTTCTGTGGGAAGAACTTAGGACTGCGATTCAGGTTCTACTCCCAGCCCTACCCCTTGTGAGTCACCTTTGCCCTCTCTGGGTCTCAGTTTCCCCATCTGTAAAACGATGGGGTTGGATTAGATGATCTCTACATTTTCTTCCACCTCTGATGTTTTATGTGCCTCCAGTACTGGCTGGAAGAACTGGAGAGGTTTAACTTAGAGAACACTTGGTGAGGGGGTAGGGGGAACTTTAGAGCTATTTTCAGAATCTGAAGGGCTGGCATGTGGAGGAAGAGGTTTAGACTCATTCTGCTTGGCCTCAGAGGGAGGAATAAGGAGCAGTGGGGTGGGGTGGGGGGGCGGGAAGGTGCAAAGAAGTAGGTTCTAGGAAATAGCCAGGGCTGTCCAAAATGAAAGGGGCTGCCTTCAGAAGTAGTGAGCTGACTGTTCTTGGAGGGTTCAAATAGAGGCTGAATATGGTCTCAGGACCCTCCCAGTTCCTGACATTCCAGGTTCTAGGGGGCCCCCCCATCCTCTGTTCTAAGGGCCCTCCCAGCACTGACATCCTGTGTTTTCTATTCTAAGGTTTTTTCTCCCTCTTCCATTCTATGATCTGTGTTCTAGAAGTTTTGATAAAATTCTTAACCATCTCTGTTGGATGGACTCCAGTCTCCCTGGATGACCGCTTCTGGTGCCATCTAACCATGGAGGGGAGACTGAAATGGAATGACTCAGCTGTCCTTGGTCATTGTTGGGGGGTGGGGTGGGGTGGGGAATGACAGGCAGAGGCAGCTCCTCTTCTTCCTCCCTTCCCCCTTTCCCCTCTCCCCACTCCAGGAGGCTGCCTGCAGTATTTCTGGGAAAGTCTATCTGTCCCTCCCCCAGCTCCCGCAAAGGCTATGCAATGGTGGGTGGTGGGTGTTGTGGCCATGGGCCGGGAATGCCCAGTGTGTCTGCATGATGTGGGAGTTGTCATGGTAACAGGAGGGCTTGATTCCAAGGCAGACCAACAGAGATGAGGTCCCAAGGGCAGTAGCAGAAGGGGCCTAAGGGACAGCAGGTCATTCCCTCGCTTGGGTTTTTTGGGCACAGTCCATCATGGAAGGGGCAGAAACCCTTCCCCAGCATCCCCAGGATCCCGGAAAAGGGAGAAACTGAGTAAATCTCTGTCAGAGAATAGAAAGGCTAGATTCCATTGCACCTGAGAGCTCTGGCATGGGAATTGAGACCCCCGGGTTCTAATCCTGGCATTGCTATATGCTCTTGGAGTTTCCCTGGGCTAATCACTGCCCATTTCTGGATCCCACTTGCTTCATCCGTAAATAAGAAAGTTGGGCTAGATGATCTCGAAGGTTTTTCCAGGTCCAAATCCTCAGATTTTCTGTAAGCACATCTATGTACAGACATACACGTTAAACATACGCGTAGGTTCACAAACACAAAGGCACATAATAGATTGCACAGAGATACATGTATACAAATGAGTATGTACAGGCCCCCTGCCCATAGGGATATGAACACACACATGCACAAGGGAACATATACACATGTATGAATATATATGGAGTCACAGTGCAAAATACATAAACACAATACGTACATGATATGCATATACAAATGTACATGAACAAAGCATAAAGATTAAGAATGATCATAGCATTCTACAATTTCTATAATGCTTAAAGATTTGCAAAGCAGTTTACAAATATTATCTCATTTGATCCTTATAACAATTCTGGGAGGTAGGTGATGTTATCAGCCCCATTTTACACAGGAGGAAACTGAGACTGACAGCAGCTAAGTGACTTGTCCAGGGTCACAAATCTGTTAAGTGTCTGAGGCCAAATTTGAACCCAGGTCTTCTTGAGTCCAGGTGTAGTGCTGTAACCATTGTGCCATGGTACGTAAGTACATATGCATGTATGAATGTATGTATATATATATATAATGTAGAAGAACATGGAGAAGAAGAATATATTAAACAATATATTAAATTACAATATAATATAATCCGTTAAAACAATGTATTATATTAGAAGAATAATACATTATGCACACATGTACTCATGTACACACATGTATGTATATGTATGTGTGGGTACTTTATATATACCCATGGGGACATCTATCACTATTTAGAGTGGGAACATGATTGGCCATCTGCATGACCTCTGTAGGCTCCCACACTGGCCTGTGGTCCTGTGGACCATTCCTCATCTCCAAGTTCTTCTGGGCTAGGGATGAACTCAGGATGCTGAGTGCCCATGGATGCTGGTCTGTTGTTGGCTGGGGGACCTCACCTCTTCCCCATGGGAACTGGTCCCTGTTGGGAGCTCAGCCCAGAAGGAAGTCCATGGTCTCCCCCAACCCCCACCAGTCCTTACCATCTGGCCTGTGCCTGCAGCCAGAGAAAGGGGGGAGAGAGGCACAGACCAGGGGGTGAGTCACACACTCAGACGCTAAGGCAGCAGCCGCCTCCAGGAAACTGGGCCCTGGAGTCCAGGATCACAATGCCTCCCTCCTCCTCCCCACCACTCCGCCTGCCCCCAGCAGTGCTGAGCTTCAGCCCCAAGATGGAAGGAGGGTTGATCTCACCAGCCAGAAGGATAAACATTCATTCTTTCAGACCTTCATTCCTTCATTCATCCTCTTTGGCAAATACTTGCGGCTGAAGGTACTGATACTTCTGTCTCAACTCAGAATGCTGGATGCTAGAACAGAGAATGTCAGAGATGGGAGGGCCTTGGAACTTATGGTACCAGATCTAGGAGAACCCTTAAAACCTTGCACCTAAAATGTCACATCGAATGTCTTAGTTGGTAGGGTTCTTAGAACATAGAATGTCCATAACTGGGAGGATCTGTAGAACATGAAATATCTAGGCTGGGAAGGCAGCTTAGAACATAGAATGTTTGAGCTAGAAGGAAACCTAGAATATAGAAACATAGGATAACCTCTCTTGGATCTGTGTTTTGATCTTTTCTACTAAGCAGACAATAAGACTCGTGAGTGCATGGATGAGGACCCATCTGAACTCTAGACAGTGTCTCCCCCAGCTCCTAGGACAGCTGATATTCAGTGAATGAATGAGAGATGATGATAACATGTACAAGCTGGAAGAGGCCTTAGCATCTGTCCCCTTCATTTTATGAAAGAGGAAATAGGTACAGGATAGGAAAGATGCTCACTCAAGGTGCAATGGCAAGTCACTGGTTGAATTACACTGGAACCCAAGCGTCCTGACTCCCAGCTCAGGCTTCTTTCCTCATTTCTTTCTTTTTTTTTCTTTTTTTTTTTAGGCAATTAGGGTTAAGTGAGTTGCCCAGGGTCACACAGCTAGTAAGTGTCAAGTGTTTGGTCTGAGGTCGGATTTGAACTCAGGTCCTCCTGACTTCAGGGCTGGTGCTCTATCCACTGCACCACCTAGCTGCCTCCTTTCCTCATTTCTTTCCCTATTAATTGCATCCTTATATATTCCAGTTATTGGTTGGTTGCTGTCCTTTGTTCTCAAAGAGGACCACATGACATCACTACATTGGGGTCAAGGCACAGTGTGTCCTGCTATGACGGATCAGACCAATAGGAGCTTGGAAGGCTCTACCACAAATAGTCCATATGAAGATTTGGGGTGGAGATGTCTCTGAATTTGAGCATCACATTTTTTTTTTCCCGTTGTAAGACTGTCTTGGAGCATCTGATCACGTACAGCTATGAAGGACCTTGGTCAGCAGCTTAGGGAGGGACTTTATACAAAGGAAGTCGACCGGTCTCACTGTCATTTCAAAGGAGAAAAAGTCATGTGTTTTCCCTGGGGTCCAGGAGGTGGAGATGCTCCTTGGGTCTACTTGGTTAGTCTTCTTTGCTTTGAACTTATCCATCTCTCCTTTTACATCTCTGTCCTTTCACATCGTGGAGTGTGGAAAAAGGAGTCCGATGTCCAGGATGAGGAAGGGGATCATCCTACAGTCCTCAGTTTGGATCAGACCACAAAACTGGGCAACTAGGTGGTGCCATAGTGCATGGAGCACTAGACCTGGAGTCAGGAAGACGTATCTTCCTGAGTTCAAATCCAGCCTCAGGAACTAGC